GCGACTTAGAATATAAGGATGGGCTTAGGGCCTTGGATTTGCGTTCACTGAAATATCGCAGACTTAGAGAGGATCTGGTAGAGGTATATACAAGATTATGAAGAGGATTGATAAGGTAGATCTACATGGAGCACTGGAAAGTAGGCTAAGACATAGAGGAAACCAGTTTCATTTAGTAAAAGGTAGAAGTAGAACTATGAAAAGGCAGATGTCATTCAGTCAAAGAATAGTGAACCATTGGAATGGGTTGACAAACGAAGTTGTAGGAAGTCCCTCTCTAGCAGCATTAAAAACCGTTTGGACAAGTTCTATCGGTCTAAAGATCTTATTTAACCTACATTTTGATGCAAAATTTATGTTGGCCATGTGATTAGTTTTGAGGATGTGTACGGAACCTGAGGTAGACCAATCTCAATGAGCCCTTGCGGCTCTTTGTTGGCCGGAAGTCTTTATGTTTTCATGTCAGCTGTCTATTAGTGCGGCGTTGACGCTCCCATGCCCAGCTGCCCGCGCGGTGGCGTTAATTCCGCTTACACTGCCTGAGCGGGGCGATCCTTCATCAGCTGCCGACGTGCCAGCTGTGGCTGCCGCCGCCGCAATCAGGCGTCCCCAGCGCCCGCGGCCGGCCGCTCACAATGAAACGGCGACTTGGTTGACTGTCTGATGATGCCATCGCGGCTGGGGTCGTGTCAGAGGCCTGGCGGCGCCGGGCCGACGACAGCCGTCTGGTGGCGTGGGACCGACGCCACGCGCGGCCGGGGTCCCGTGTGGTCGACGTCAGCCGCCGCCATGGTCTAACAGTCCCAGCTGAGCTCCCAGCTGATCTCTGTCCGCTCGGCCCGGCGCCGCTCCCAGCTGAACTCTGTCCGCTCGGCACCGGCGCCGCTCCCAGCTGACCTCTGCCCGCTCGGCACTGGCGCCGCTCCCAGCTGACCTCTGTCCGCTCGGCACCGGCGCCGCTCCCAGCTGACCTCTGCCCGCTCGGCACCGGCGCCGCTCCCAGCTGACCTCTGTCTGCTCGGCACCGGCGCCGCTCCTAGCTGACCTCTGCCCGCTCTGCACCGGCGCCGCTCCCAGCTGACCTCTGTCCGCTCGGCTCGGCGCCGCTCCCAGCTGACCTCTGCCCGCTCGGAACCGGTGCCGCTCCCAGCTGACTTCTGTCCGCTCGACACCAGCGCTGCTCCCAGCTGACTTCTGTCCGCTGGACGCCAGCGCTGCTCCCAGCTGACTTCTGTCCGCTCGACACCAGCGCTGCTCCCAGCTGACTTCCGTCCGCTCGACACCAGCGCTGCTCCCAGCTGACCTCTGTCCGCTCAGACCGCGCGCCGCCCGGCGCCGCGACCCCGCTCCCGGCCCCGCTGGAGGCGGTCACGTCCGGGTAATGGGCGTAAATCTACATGGGGCCGACTGCGCCGCTCTGGGCCGGCCAATTACGGCCGGCCCAGAGCGAGACGGTGCGCGGCCGCCTCTGCCGGCACGTGGCCCGCGACGACCCGCCCGACCCCGGTGCGGCCTGCCGGCGCGCCGGAAACGACGTCGCTGAGACGGCTCACGGCGCAGTCAGAGGCGGCGGCGGCGGATCATGGCGATGGCGCCAGAGCCGTGGGAGCTTTAGATGGGGCCACATGATCAGCCAGGTGTGGTGGGCTCGTAGGGCACCAGTGCTTTCCCCCAGCTCTCATTTCTTCAGCATAAAAATGATACAGATATTGAGGTTTACGATAAAAATCGACCAGCATCTCAGAGATATCGACTCGGAATGGCAGAAATCTGATCCGATAGGCTAGTTGGATTGGATTGTTTGCCTGGCTTGGGTGCTCCGCCGAGCGTCCAAGCGCTTGTCGGGCGCATGACTGACGCTGTGGTGGACAGTGTAGACTGTGCCGCATTGCAGCGCGGCACGGCGGGTCGGCCGAAGAGGCGGGATCGTGGCTGCCGCCGGCCTGCGTCAGACGCGGCCGCCCGACGCGCACGGAGCGGGTAATGAATGCACCAGACGGTGGAGTAATGCTGCAGATGGTGAACTGCTGCGTCGTAGCCCGGCTTAATTAGGCACTGTTGGCTAATGCCCCCACAGCGGGTTGGGGCGTGGGACAGTGTAATGCCCCGCCAGCCCCCCCCCCCCCCCCTCCCTCCCGCGATCAGACAGTGTATCCGCCACCCTCTCCCCCTCCGGTCAGACGGTGTGATATCCCGCCAGTCCCCCCCTCCCCCGCGGTCAGACAGTGTAACGCCTGACAGGGTGTAAAGCCGGCAGGTCACACTGGCTAGGCGATGCGCCGGAATATGCGATGGTGCCTCGTAATGTGCGGAATTGCGCAGGGCAATGCAAAGACAAAACACGGCTTTCCCTTGAGGATCAGATGATGTTTGGTACGACCTGTTGCTGGACGGGGACGTCGGAGAAACCTTGTCTTGAGATAGTCGTGCAGAAACTGGCTGTCATTTCCAGTGTTGGATGTCTGGATTTAAGTATGAATTATTTCCGCCTCAGCATGACCGTCCCAGTGTCGGCCAGTCGTTTGGGGCCGCCGCGTGACAGTGGAGATACGCCAGCTGACATTAGTGTCCGCCCTGCTGACCTCAGTGTCCGCCGCGCTGACCTCAGTGTGCGCCCTGCTGATCTCAGTGTCCGCCCTGCTGGCCGCAGTGTCCGCCCCGCTGACCTCAGTGTCCACCTTGTTAACCTCAGTGTCGGGCCTACTCACCCTGGTGTCCGCCGCACTGACCACAATGTCCGCCCCGCTTACCTCAGTGTCCACCTTCCTAACCTCAGTGTCGACCCTACTGACGTTAGTGTCTGCCCTACTGACCTCAGTGTCCGCCCTACTGACCTCAGTGTCGGCCCTACTGACCGCAGTGTCGGCGCTGCCGACCTCAGTGTCCGTCCCGCCGACCTCAGTGTCCGTCCCTCTGACCTCAGTGTCCGTCCCGCTGACCTCAATGTCGGCCCCACTTTGCACCATGTGGCACCCGGGGCGACACCGGCTGGCCATTCGTCTGTTTCCGTTGAGTTCATGCAAGCTGAAGAGACCCGACAACATAGCGCACTTAAGTCTTAATCGGCATTGTCGGGATGCCACGCACCACGAGGCCTTTAATGAATGCTGTGACCTCAGGTGGGTGGCTGGCGATGGCTGGCATCCGGTGCGGACCGCGCGTGGCTCGGCTGATAGGTGCCAGGGCGGCGACAGAGTGCCGCCGGCGCATTCTGCCGACCTCATGTAATTAACAGCTGGTATTTATAGATACGGGCATCACGGCCAAAACCTGTCATTTGTGGTACGATCAGCAGAAGGTGATGCATCCCGCTCGAGAAACAGTTCATTTAAATGCATGCAGCATCCTTGCCACCTAGGAGGACATGGCTTTGCGGGCGCGTGCAGGAGAGCCCGTTGCTTCCGTCGCAGATTCAGGCATGGAAACGTTCGTCCCAATTCCATTGCTGTGGTCGGGCTGGCGTCCGTTCCCCGTGGCGAATGACCTTTCCGCTGAGCGCCGCCAATCCTAAATGGGACAGATTGCGGGCGTCGGGCGTTGATGCGGCCGCGCCGTGCGGTGCCGCCAGTTGATGATGGTCGGGCCGCCCGGCAACTCATGAGTGGAGGTGCCGGCGGCGGCAGTGGCGCCCCCCGCCGCCGCCGCCGCCGCCGCCGCAGCGAGGGCGGCCGGCCGGCGCCGGCTGTCCCGCCCGCCGGCTGATGATGTTCTGCTGAAACACTGCGCCGAGGCCGAAGGGGGAATGAGCCGGCCGCCAGTGTCTTCATCTGGAGGCGACCGGACCCACCGGCGGACGGAGGCCGAGCAGGATAATCAATAGGCGGCTCAGTCAATGTCGGAGCCTGTCGTGGGCTACGCACGCTAAAATATCGCCGCCAGTGTGCTGCTCCCTTTCACACGTCGGCGTGACTAACTGCCCGCGGGTAAAATAACGCAGGCTATTCACAAAGCTGCCTGTTCCGCTGCTGGAGGCGTGCGATCTGCACGGAAAGGTTGCCGTGAGTGCTGCCACGACACCGCCGCCCGGACCGCGGCTCATGTCGCTCTGTCCGGCGTTGGGGGGAACACTGTTGCGCGGCGGGGTGCACATGTCTGTAAGTGACTGGGAACCAATTTGGGGACAGTGGCGCTCCCAGTGGTGAGCCCGAAGGAGGCTGTATGGGACCAAATGTCGTCCGGTCATTGAGAATATCTTCTTGCCACGGCGTTTTCGGTGTTAAAACTTCGCTAAAGCTGTTTTCATTTAACCTAGCTCTCAAAGTGTGTCTGAGCTCGGAGATCCTGCTTGTCCTGTTACGGTATTGTGGCTTTGCGAGACCTTCTATTAGGGTGGAGGTCCGTCTGAATACGGCACTGGTCGCGGAAGTCCATTTTCACGCTGTTTTGTTCCTCGTGCCCCTCTGAGTGTCGCGCGAAATGCATGAGCTATTTACCTGACTCAAGTAGGTTCTCCAAACTAGAAACTTCCTCACAGCCCGGCGAGACCAATGTTAGGTCTCGAGAGCACTTTCTCGGGACCCTGATGGCCATTGAAAGGCACCTGACTCCCCGTGCTGTGGTCTTCACAGCTCAGTGGTTCTGCCACACCATACTAGGAGCCTTCATCCCCAGGAGCCGTCGCTGCCTGCATCAATAGCTAACCTCTCGATTCGTATGTTATGCATGGATGTTATAAGAATGCACTTGCTTGTGACTTGCTGAGTGTACTGGCGCCTGTGTGACTGACTACTTGGAGTGGCACCACGTATAGGCGCTCTGCACCGAGCCCCACCGACACCGGCGAGTGGCGGCGCGCCGCCGCTCGTGTCAGCTGTGCGGCCGGCGCCGCACCGACAGGCCGTCGCCGCGATGACCGAGCGGCTGACGCGCCGGCCGACGCGGTGAGGCGCCGGCGATGTGCCGACGCGGCGCCGTCGGCGCGAGCGGCGTGAGCGGCGCGCTAATGACGCCACCTCCGCCGGCGGGACGTCCGCGGTGACCGCCGGCCGCCGCTGTTGCAGGACCGTACGGCCGTGACGACGGCCGACGCTGAGCGGCGCTGTGTGACGCCCGCCGGCCTGCAGCAGCAGATCGACGGCCTGGTCAGCCAGCAGCCGCAGGGCCGCGCCTTCGTCAGGTGAGCCGCTGAGCTGGCAGCGGACGCTCCGGCCGCTCCGGCGCCGCCGCAGGCTGCGCCGGGGTGACCTGCTCCCGATGGAGCCGTCACCGCCGCGGGCCGGTGGCGCCGACGCCGTCCGCCCGGGCGCCGGCTCGAAATAACGCCGTCACGCGCCGTGTTGATGCCGTGTCGCCTGGCCTCGCGCCGTGCCGCCGGCCTGTTTACAGCTGGTGACGGCCGCGGAGCGCGCTGCCGGCCCCGCGGCATCCGCGGACCCCCCCCCCCCCCCGCGCCGAGCTCCGCAGACCGCTCCGGGTCTTGTGTCGCATGGAGGCCCGTCCGATGTCACTTCAGAGCAAGCCGTGGCCATGTCGTTCGGAGGACGCCTTGCGGTCGTTGCTGTCCTCGGGCTGGAAATGTCATTTGTTCGGACCACGCTTTGCTCGTGTGGTGATGCTGAGAGTGCTGTGACGTACGGGCCTTCTGCGCTGGCGTTCCTGGTCCATTCATGCCTGTCAGCATGGGTGATGTTGGAGCCGTCAGTGTTCGTTTTGGAATTCCCTGCGCCTGTTGGCAGAGGAATGGAACGGGGATGAGGTTTTGGCATGCATCTCCCGGTGCTGAGGCGCATACAGTGGCCGAAAAACGTGCTCATTTGTCTAGACAATCTTCTCGTTGGGATGGTCAACCGCGATGCATTCCGTATAATTTTCCGTTTAATCAGAGATCGGGATCTGGACGTCTTTGAGTCATCTGCGACCGACTTAAGCAAACACTTGCCCTTCCTTCCCCTCCCCCTGTTCCCTTGACTTGCAAGATCGTTTGCTGCCTCGCCGCGCCGCGCCTGCGGGGAAGCCGGCCGCTGGCGGGCGTGCACGGCCTGACCGTCAGGCGACAAACAACGTCGATGAATGCAGATCATCACCTCAGGGGAGTCCCATGCGAATGAGCCTTGCCAGCGCGTAGGAACACGCATTTTCCATGAATTAGATAAGGGATACCGGGTTGCAATGATTGCTTCACGTGTTTTGATCAGTATCTCCAGACGTATGAAAGGTGGGTATGTTAAACGTACGAGCTCGGAATTCGAAACGCCAGGAGCTGGGCCTGTCGTCCTCACAGTTTGGCACGCATGCAGAGGTACACATATGTCTAGCGCTCACTCACACCATTGCAAATGACGCATCTATGAATATCGCCTGGCTATGGTTCTGGTGAGGCCTGGCAAGGTTAATTGACGAAATCGATGAGTAGGGCATTATTTACCTTCTAGGCGATTGTGACCAGTATTGGTAAAAACCCGAACGTTTCATGTGGGTATAGGTCGCGGTGCATGGACGCACACTCCAGTGTTGTGTTCGTAGCCTGTTTGCTCTTCCATGTAGCCCGTGACGTGTTGTATCCAAGACGGATTCTTGACACCCGGAAGTTTGACACCCGCCGCTCTCCTGACTGACTGTTGCCGCATTTGGCATGTAGACGGCGCATTTACAGATATCGCGCAGCTGGTGTCACGCCTTTACGGATTCTGACTGCCGAAATCTGACATAACCCCTTGAAAACACCGCCAAACGGGCGTATTCCTGGTTTGCGCACGATTACGTGTGTCATTTTGCACACATCCACCTCAATTGACAGAGCGATTATCCTTTTTATTCCTCGTTAAAACTGCCCTCCCCTTCGCGGTCCGCAGCGAGTTGCAGCTGCGTTAGAATGTGTTCTTTCATGTCGCTGCGACGCGTGGCCTTCGAAATCTCTTGCAATCTGAGCAAGTCACACACGCGCACGCACGCACGCACGCACGCACGCACGCACGCACGCACGCACGCACGCACGCACATCCCATGTTAATCAAATGAGGGAGGTGATATTAGAGTGGCATTGCAATGATGCGGAAAACATGATGTTGCGAAGTTGGACAGCTTGCATGTAAATGCCCTGCCAATATTGCGGAACAACTGTTATTACCTGTGTTACGTGCTGCCAACACCTCCGTGGTGGTATGATCAAGGGATGTGAAGACAGCCAGGGCTGTCCAGCTGGGCTGAGCCGGAGCGCTGCCGCTACCGAATGCCCGGTTAGTTGTCGTCGAGGCCGGGCCGTGCCGCGGCCCCGTTCGTAATGGCTAATCCTGGCAAGTCCGGAAGATGACAGTATCCGCCTCTGGTCCAGGCCGTCGAACGGTTTGACCACATTGAACGCACCGACCTCGGCTGCACTGCGGCATTACAGGCAGCGCAGTACTCTCCAACGGTCCGTCATTCGGGAGGAGTTGGCGGCCATTCGCGTGCCCCGCCCGCGGCCGGAGCAATCCTCTGCGATCGGGCGGAGCCGGCGCGGCCGCAGACGACCGTTACTGCGGGGAGACGGTCGAACTTGGCCAGCCGTGCCCAGCTGGGAGCGCTTGCTCGCGTCGGCTCGCGGCACGTGTGACCCCCGACGGTCAGATGCCGGCCGTGGCAGGGTCACGTGTGGCCCTCGACGGTCAGCTGTGCCCCCCCCCCCCCTCTCCCCCCCCCCCCCCCCCGGCTGTGGCAGGGTCGCGTCCGGCGATTTGTCGGCCTTTGATTGGGCCGATCCATCAGTGACTAGGCTGGATCTGCGTCTTGCAACAGTGACTTCCCGTCGGCAAATAGGGGACTACTAGTGCCCGCCGTGGTTAGAGGAAGTGTTCCACATTTTGAGTTCAAATTCCTGGCCTTCTTAATACATAAACCCCTCTAGTTCCTGAGGTACACTCCCGCGAAGCTGTGCAGACTGTTTCGTGGAAGACCATTCCAAAGTCACCCACGCATCTATGACGCCATAATAACGTCCTTGAAATCCTGTAAGTTTCATTGGCCATGCGGTGATCAAGGCCAGGAGAAATATGATCTTCGAGTCGTTCGGATCTGGCATTCGCTAACACCATTCCCAGATATAACGGCCGTCCACTGGCTCTCAATTATTGTGGTGCAAGGTACGACGAGGCAATCAAACAATGACGAATTGATAAGCATATTTACTAAATAGAGAATTTTGTTGTCTACAGCAGTCTTTTCCACGAGCAATTTTGTTTCATCATATGTAATGCGTGCTTAAATATATTCAAACGTGGAACATTCTCTTTAAGGATGTGTTCGGGCCCATTGCGTAGGAAAGTGAACCCATCTATCTCCTTCTGCATCCTCCCTCTTGCTGAGACAGCAGTCTGCGAACGTTCTGATCTGAGACGTGCAAGCTGACTTGAATGGCCCAGAACTGTCAAACGAAGGACATTGGTGAGATATGTCTATGCCGCCGTGCTTCTGCAGCCCCGAGTCGCCGCGCACCGGCGCGTCCGACCCGCGCTTCCCGGCGGCGCGGGCCGTTCTGCGCGGCGTCAGCGGGGAGTGTCCGTGTGCCGGCCCGGTCCGCGGCGGAGAGCTGTGACGACCCCCGTCGCCTGTGCTCGCGCAGCGGCCGCCTCCTGCACCGCTCTCGTCCGCTGTGCCGACCGCAGCCACCGGCAGGCTTTTACAATACAGACGGAGAGTGGCTGCCCGTATATTGCTGCCGACCTATAAATAACGGGGTGCTGGGCGCTGTTTTTGCGTCGCTCGCCCCAAGCCGTTGTCTGGCTGATGGCAGGACAGAGGGAGCTTCACGAGAGTGGAGATTGCTGTGGCCGTGGCGTTGGCGCTGAGCAGAGCGACCAAAGCACGAATACACGTCCCATGCATGCTCAAAGTTGTGGGTCAAAGCGGTCTTAACAGTGTTGACATATTACCACCGCAGGACCATTTTATGCAGGAAAGGGTGTTGAAGCGCGGTTAGCATGCGCTGGAAACCAAGTGGTTAGTACGCTAGTCTGCTTTTATTCCTTTCGACCTGCTTAAAAATAGCACTTAAATTGAAAGTTGTTTTCCTCCGCAGAAACCACTCTTCTTTGCTGTCAACTCATTTTCAGCTCAGAGAAAACTCAACGCCAGCAGTTTGGGGTCGGGTTGCCTTCTCTCCACTTTGCAAACCTTATAAGAGACATCAAGCCTTTGGGGACGGCATCAGACGTGGAGTAGCACAGGTGAAGTAGAACCTCATCAGACGCGTGGTGTGCAGGGTTAAGGATGCATTGGCTCAGAGTGGAAATAGTTCATAGAAATCGAACTTTGACAGTCACATCACCTCTCTCTCTCTCTCTCTCTCTCTCTCTCTCTCTCTCTCTCTCTCTCCTCTCGCCTCTCTCTCTCCTCTCTCTCTCTCTCCTCTCCTCCTCTCTCTTCTCTCCTCTCTCCTCTCTCGTCCTCTCTCTCTCCTTCTCTCTCTCTCTCTCTCTCTCCTCTCTCTCCATCTCCTCTCTCTCTCTCTCTCTCTCTCTCTCTCTCTCTCTCTCTCTCTCTCTCTCTCCTCTCTCTCTCTCTCTCTCTCTTCTCTCTCTCTCTCTCTCTTCTCTCTCTCTCTCTCTCTCTCTCTCTCTCTCTTCTCTCTCTCTCTCCCTCTCTCCTCTCTCTCTTCTCTCTCTCTCTCTCTCCTCTCTCTCTCTCTCTCTCTCTCTCTCTCTCTCTCTCTCTCTCTCTCTCTCTCTCTCCTCTCTCTCTCTCTCTCTCTCTCTCTCTCTCTCTCTCTCTCTCTCTCTCTCTCTCTCTCTCTCTCTCTCTCTCTCTCTCTCTCTCTCTCTCTCTCTCTCTCTCTCCTCTCTCTCTCTCTCTCTCTCTCTCTCTCTCTCTCTCTCTCTCTCTCTCTCTCTCTCTCTCTCTCTCTCTCTCTCTCTCTCTCTCTCTCTCTCTCTCTCTCTCTCTCTCTCTCTCTCTCTCTCTCTCTCTCTCTCTCTCTCTCTCTCTCTCTCTCTCTCTCTCTCTCTCTCTCTCTCTCTCTCTCTCTCTCTCTCTCTCTCTCTCTCTCTCTCTCTCTCTCTCCTCTCTCTCTCTCTCTCTCTCTCTCTCTCTCTCTCTCTCTCTCTCTCTCTCTCTCTCTCTCTCTCTCTCTCTCTCTCTCTCTCTCTCTCTCTCTCTCTCTCTCTCTCTCTCTCTCTCTCTCTCTCTCTCTCTCTCTCTCTCTCT